TAGAAGCTGAATAGGTAGTTTGGGGAAGGGGATGTTAAAGAGGAAATCCCAAAGTGCCGACGCCCTGGCCCAGTATTCTGATGCTTCCTTGCAGTGAATGAGACAGTGAACTAGGTCCTCCTGGATTCCATCAGGGCAGAGTGCGCATAGTTCTGAGCTAGTAGGGTCCTTTTTGTGACATCGTATGTGGAGCCAGTGGTTGACCGGCAATGCAGCGTATGTAATTAGCCACTGGAGGCTTCGGATCTTCACCGGTCTCATGGACTTAAATTTCTTCCACGGGATGAGAGTCAGTTTATCTGCCTTGTGGCCTAGTAATTTCTGCCATCTGGCTTTTATTGTTGGTTCTGGATTTTTTGTTTTGACCAAGAGCTTGTAGCCAAATTTGACTGTGTAATTTTGTATGGGTGTGTGTGCTTTAATGTTTTCTCTTTTCTAACTTCGAATCCACAAGGAATTCTCCCAAGAGAGAATTTCTTAGGAAAAGAAAACAGAAAATGCTTCAGGCAGCATGAGGTGCACTAAATTTTACTCTTGTCATTTGTTGCAAGTGCATTGAGACCACCCTGCATGGGACACTGCTACACCAGTCTCACACCAATCCAAACGCACATGAAACACACATGAGATACGAATTCCAAAAATAGTCTTCACGAATAACACAAGTAACCGAATTGCCTTCTTCGTCACCGGTGGCTATGACCTCCCACACTCGACATGTCTCTCTCTCTCGCATACATTCTCTCCACCTATCCTACTCTCACACAGGCCTTGCTCATCCTATCAGACTGTCTTCCTATCTCTCTCTCTCTCTAAAGGTACAGCTATGGTGCCAGGCACGGTCGACTACCTTACTACTGCGCTCACTCTTCCTCTCGGCCGTTGCTTCACACACAGTGCCGCAGCAGCGCTTCCGCATTGAGCAGGAAGGTGAATTGTGCTGACGTCTATGTGCACCTGGACTCTTGTACCCGCTCAGCTCTAATTTGTAACTGCTGTTCGACCCACTTTGGCCTCCGGCAATCCGAAAGTATCCGCCTTCCAAAATAAACTGTGACTGGCACAGACTTTCTACATGCAGACTTCCAGGGACTGCCTACCAACCTTCTATGGACCAAAAAATAATGCCAACTTCCATACGGCCTGAACCTAAACTAAGGGCTCCACAGTACGGTCCTACTGGGACTCTGGGACTAGACGGAGGACACTCAGATTTACAAATGCTTTAATGAGAAGGGCTTTTTCTCACTGCCCTCCCTGAAAACCACAGAGGAAAATGTTCATGGTAACCGACCCAACGTCCGAACCGGGTTCCAGACAGTCCGAAACAACATGTCCGGTGTCCGGTGTCCGGTCCTTATGTCCGGATGGAGGCCCCAAGGGCAAAAATCGAAAAAAACAAAGGGGCAGCCCAGGCCGTTTTTTGGGTCCTGGCCGGCCCTTGAAAAATAATGGGGTGATTTTTCAGTGTCGTTTCACCCCACCGGACAGGGCCTAAAGGTCCAGACACGAGACACTGCAGGTTTTTGGGGTGGCGGGTTTCACACAGGCTCGAGCAATTTCAAAGCGGCCGTTTCGACGTGCTGCCTGCCACTGATGCCCGTTGCACACACACACAC